GAAATTCACAATTTTGGTAAAGCACCTTAAGACCCTTCCATCTATGAAGAGTATTTGATTCTACCATATCTGGGTCTTGAGAAGAAGATTTTTGAAATTTTAGTCAATTTGACCCTTTTTGGCCCCGCCCCCCAGGCCCCTGGGGGCTTAGGACTAAACCGGCAACTTTTTTGTTGACCTTTGTCCATGGAAGGTCCCTGCAAAATTTCATTGAAATTGGTTCAGGGGTTTTGGAGAAGAAGTCGAAAATGTAAATTGTTTACGGACGCACGACGGACGACGGACGACGACGGACAAAAGGCGATCGCAATAGGTGACTTGAGACTTTGTCTCAGGTGACCTAAAAATCTACTAGGACTGGGACTATCACTAATCAGGTAGCTCTACTAGGCCTGGGGACTATTGCTAATCAGATAGCTCTACCAGGCCTGGGGACTATCGCTAATCAGGTAGCTCTACTAGGCCTGGGGACTATCGCTAATCACGATAGCTCTGCTAGGCCTGGGGACGATCACTTATCGGGTAGCAGTTTGAACACCTAAATCCAAAGTTGCAGGCATAAAATATAGCTTTTCAAATAAAGAAAATCAATTTGTAATGAAATACTGGTCAAGTGAAAACACAAGATAATCGAACCAATGTACAATGGCTACATTACCCGAGCATATAGATTTCTTTCTGAACTTGGTCTGAACATGATCATATTTTGTTTATCATGGAGGAAACGCTAAAACAGCTTTATTTTAGTAGTTCAGCATCGACCAAAACAATGTAAATTTGGTTGAGATTCAATACTGTGAGAATTTTTACCACGTAATATTAATGTCCAATTACAGTACAAGCCACCTTGAATCTCTATCTAATTATGTAACAAATACACAAAATACCTGGGTAACAGTGATTCAATCTGGCTTCCCATTAAATACATGATTTTATACAATAGTATGTGAAAAAGGAGTATTAGCCATCACCAGGGTCAAAGGTCAAAGGTCAAGAAAAGAGAAAAGGTCACAAAAAATGAAAATAGCAAGGATGAGGTCATATCTGACCAAAGAGAAAAGTGATCAATATGAAAGGTCACGCATCATCAATGAGAAAAGTTCAAAGATCACAAAGGTGAGAGTTATTTATGACAGCTGAAGGTGGTTCAAAGAATGATTGATAAGAAAGCCGTGAGAACAGAATATCACAGAGAAAAGAAGAGTTGTTTAATTAGATAGAAAGAACATATTAGAGGAAGAGACTTTGTTAATTCAAAAAAATCTTCATGTTTTCTTTACTTTGGTTAAGAGTAGGAAATGAATGAGAGAGTAAATGAGACAGAGGATAAAAAACAAAGCTTTGTTTGAGTGTTTTACCTTCACACAAACTGGGGGCGATCTGTGGGAGAGGACCTTAGCTGCCCTGGTAGTTGTTATCTAGGTCGTCGTCATGGTGATCGGTTAGAAAAGGTAGCAACATGTTGCGTACCTTACCTGCCAGTGCCGCTTGTTGTGCGGCGATATCGTCTGAAGACAGGCCACGCCCACCCGGCATATCGTCCGTCTTCTCCTCCTCACGACGCTTAAGGCACGCCGCCTTTGGGTTCAGATTACGCTCTAGAGGGACAAAAAGGAGGGGCAAGTGTCAAGTTGAGAAAATATTTTAAAAACATATTTTGAAGTGAAGTTTTTCTTTTAAAATGTATAAGAAGGTGCAGCCTTAAATTGTTTCTGTTAAAGCAGTTTGTACTCTTTATGGCTGCCAGCTTATAAACACACACAGGAGATATAAGGGTCTTAGTTACATTTCTTTGTCTACACTGGACAACAAAATGTAGAATTTTACAAATTAGAATAATTGGAATAGATCAACAGCAGCAATGGAAGACAATATCAACATTTTTAAAACTTTGTGTACACAATTTGCATATTATTCATTCTTCAAGACCGCCAGCATGTATACCTACCTCTGACCCAAGCCTCCAGTGTAGTGATGACCACGACGGTATCAGACCTGTACAACATGTATACCTACCTCGAACCTGTACAACATGTAAACCTACCTCGAACCTGAGCCTCCAGTGTAGTGATGACCATGACAGTATCAGACCTGTACAACATGTATACCTACCTCTAACCTGTACAACATGTATACCTACCTCTAACCTGTACAACATGTAAACCTACCTCGAACCTGAGCCTCCAGTGTAGTGATGACCACGACGGTATCAGACCTGTACAACATGTATCCCTACCTCGAACCTGTACAACATGTAAACCTACCTCGAACCTGAGCCTCCAGTGTAGTGAGGACCATGACAGTATCAGACCTGTACAACATGTATACCTACCTCGAACCTGCACAACATGTATACCTACCTCTAACCTGTCCAACATGTATACCTACCTCTAACCTGTCCAACATGTATACCTACCTCTAACCTGTATAACATGTATACCTACCTCGAACCTGTACAACATATATACCTACCTCGAACCCGAGACTCAAGCGTAGTGATGACCACGACAGTATCAGACCTGTACAACATGTATACCTACCTCGAACCTGAGACTCAAGCGTAGTGATGACATTGACGGCGTGCTGAAGGATCATAAGTTTGGTTAGGGGCTGACTGCTGGATGTGTGAAGGGAAACCATGGTCCCAAGCTCTTTAAATGCTTCATTTATGTCTCGCACACGAACCCTGCAATAAAGGGGCACAACTCTCATCACATGCCGAGCCAACACCTCTTTTATAAAGAAGAGAAGCTCAAGAGAGAGAAAGAATAACATAGGAATGAAACTCCTCATAATTAGCTTAAAACCCTAAGGTAACTATACTGTGACCATAGGGTAACTTTACTGTGATCATACTGTAACCATAGGGTAACTATACTGTGATCATACTGTAACTATATTGTGATCATACTGTGAACATAGGTTAACTATACTATAAGGGTAACTATACTATGACCATACTGTCACTATATTGTGATCATACTGTAACCATAGGGTAACTATACTGTTACCATACTGTGAACATAGGTTAACTATACTGTAAGGGTAACTATACTGTAACTATACTGTGATCATACTGTAACCATACTGTGACCATAGGGTAACTATATTGTGATCAAACTGTAACTATACTGTAACCATACTGTGGCCATAAGGTAACTATACTGTTACCATACTGTTACTATACTGTGACCATACTAAAATTATGAAGTAATCATCTGTCATCGAACAGCATTATTAAAGAGAAGCCAAGATTGGCTGGAAACTTCCTTTAAGTGCATCAAATAACAAAGAAAAGAACTGAAAGTATTTCAAAAACATCATTCAGTCAGTTCTGAAAGAGATACAACTTGTACTAGATAAAACCTGAAGAAAGAACAACCTTTAACAAGGGCAACAATTCTCTAATATATCCTAGGAGAACTCATACCTGGGCAACAACATGTAACAAGGGTCAACGACTCGAGGAATTGACAAATTACAGGCTGTTTTATACACGACAAGCAAAACCAGCTGTTTAACTTTAAACCCTGGGTCCAAGATAAAACAGGATAGTAAGTACAAGTACACCACTTTTTCAAGCAATTTCTTTTTTTCAATATGGAACCTTGCTTCGAAAGTTTTCATAAACAAGAAGTTTCAAATCAAATTTCCAAAACATAAATGTAAGTAACATATCAAATTTTCTGTACTGAAATAAACAAGGATTACGATAATACCATGGAAGTGGAACTATCTCACACTTGGGACTCGCCAAAACTCTTCAAAATATTGACATGTTCACGCTGGCAATACTGATGCCTTAGATATCCGTATGTCAACATGTTCATAACAATGTTTTATCTAAATTTGTTAACAAAGTGTTAGCGTTCCACTTCCACAGAAGCTTCAGACTTGTTTCTGATACATCAGTGTTCACCCCACAAACTCCAGCTACTACTGCTAAGAGATATAGCCCAGTCAATCTCTGTTAGCTAAGAGATATAGCCCAGCCAATCTCTTTTAGCTAAGAGATATAGCCCAGTCAATCTCTGTTAGCTAAGAGATATAGCCCAGTCAATCTCTGTCCACACTATGTGACGTGTCAGGCTTCCTGATAACAGTGTTTACTAAACAGCTGGGGTAAATGTATAACACTATTACAACTATCACATTTTTACAATTATACACAAAAAAGGATTTTTAATTTCCAGATTGAAGGTTCATTGTAATACCAGTGAATATCTTATTCTGGTCATCACAATGTTTTTAAAAACCGATACGAATCTTGCTTATAAATTAAAACGATGGAAGAAGTTCATATAAATTCTGAAGATATCTTTTTTCTAATTTTGAATTATATTTCTTCTTTCATTTTTTACTAGAAACTCCAAATTCTTAAACACTTGTACTCAGGAAGAGACAATATCTGTTTCGTGACAAACAGTTTTTAAGAAAATCTGCTAAAATAGTAAATAAAACAAACACTACTAATCCATGAACAGACATATGCAGTATTTTGATTCAATCCAGAATTTTTCAAAAATCCCCCCTCTGCCCAGAACAAAATTTTAGAACCATGTACAGCAACAATTTTGTAAGCCTTCTAAAGATTCCTGTCTGGAATGAACAACAAACACTACATATATGAGTTAATGTCAGTGAACACCCTAAAAACTCCAAAGGTTTGTGCATAGTTCAACAGAAGCAGTGCCCCTTTTAGTAGAAGTGGTCAAAACACAATACCAAAGTGTATTTCTCTCAGACCAGAATTTCAACTTACTTTTTGACGTTAGAATTACATAAATGCACAATTTTGGGTTTTTAAGGTACAATGCATTATTTTTACAACAAATGAAATGGAAACTTTCAACACAAAACAATATAAAATGGATACAAGAATTGTGAACAGTTCAAGGAAATCTCTTTTCCAAACATTGTGAACTTCACAAAATATTTCAAAGATATAAAAACATGTTGCAGTTTTATTAGGGGTTGAAAACGTGAAAACCTTTGTCTCACCCCTACAGACCACAGTAGACTGGTCTGGTTCAATGGAATAGAGAGTCTATTGTGGCTACTGGAGGGGTGAACAGGTTGGCAGATTCACTCTAGACTATCTTCACCGACCTCTGACAGAAACACTTGTTATGTCTGGTTTACACTGAGGGCATATATTAGCCCAATTTTTAGCCAATCTTTGAAAGTGCTTTCGCTTTTTTGTGTGTCTTATCTGACAGTCATGGGTCACCGGTCGAGTCTTTTCTGACAGTCATGGGTCACTGTTTAAGTCCATTATCAGTGTAAGTCATGGGTCACCGGTCAAGTCCATTATCAGTGTAAGTCATGGGTCACCAGTCGAGTCATTTCTAACAGTCATGGGTCACCAGTCGAGTCTTTTCTGACAGTCATGGGTCACCGGTCAAGTCTTTTCTGACAGTCATGGGTCACCGTTCGAGTCAAGAATCTATGTTAGTCCAATAGGTATTTTGTTAATAACTCCAACTATTTCATTCATAGTTAAGTTAGGTAGATTGTTCACACACAGAGCCAGGTGCTGCCTCTGGACCATCAGTACATAACGGGCCTAACAAGGGTAATACAGAGTATATTGGGTCTACCTTGCACTAACCAGGGTCTGGAATAGCCTAACTGAACTCAATTCAGATTTCTTTGACCAACTCACACACTTATTACAAGTGGAGTTTACCGGTTAAGTATGATTCTGGGCAAATTTGAACTGACTTTGACATAACAGTCAAGCTTTGCCTAGTCTTAGTTGGGTATTTCCTGACCTACAATGGACTGAGTAGGGCCTGGACTAAGCTAGCTTTCTCTGGCCTTAACATAACAACCTGAGTAGGGCCTGGACTAAGTGAGCTTTCTCTGGCCTAAACATAACAAACTGAGTAGGGCCTGGACTAAGCTAGCTTTCTCTGGCCTAAACATAACAACCTGATTAGGGCCTGGACTAAGTGAGCTTTCTCTGGCCTAAACATAACAACCTGAGTAAGGCCTGGACTAAGCCAGCTTTCTCTGGCCTAAACATAACAACCTGAATAGGGCCTGGACTAAGTGAGCTTTTTCTTGCCTAAACATAACAACCTGAGTAGGGCCTGGACTAAGTGAGCTTTCTCTGGCCTAAATGTAAAAAAATGAATAGGATCTGGACTAAGCTAGCTTTCTCTGGCCTTAACATAACAACCTGAGTAGGGCCTGGACTAAGTGAGCTTTCTCTGGCCTAAACATAACAAACTGAGTAGGGCCTGGACTAAGCTAGCTTTCTCTGGCCTAAACATAACAACCTGATTAGGGCCTGGACTAAGTGAGCTTTCTCTGGCCTAAACATAACAACCTGAGTAAGGCCTGGACTAAGCCAGCTTTCTCTGGCCTAAACATAACAACCTGAATAGGGCCTGGACTAAGCGAGCTTTTTCTTGCCTAAACATAACAACCTAAGTAGGGCATGGACTAAGTGAGCTTTCTCTGGCATAAACATAACAACCTTAGTAGGGCCTGGACTAAGCTAGCTTTCTCTGGCCTAAACATAACAACCTGAGTAGGGCCTGGACTAGGCTAGCTTTCTCTGGCCTAAATATAACAACCTGAGTAGGGCCTGGACTAAGCTAGATTTCTCTGGCCTAAATATAACAACCTGATTAGGGCCTGGACTAAGTGAGGTTTCTCTGGCCTAAACATAACAACCTGAATAGGGCCTGGACTAAGTGAGCTTTTTCTTGCCTAAACATAACAACCTGAGTAGGGCCTGGACTAAGCTAGCTTTCTCTGGCCTAAATATAACAACCTGATTAGGGCCTGGACTAAGCTAGCTTTCTCTGACCTAAACATAACAACCTGATTAGGGCCTGGACTAAGTGAGCTTTCTCTAGCCTAAACATAACAACCTGAGTAGGGCCTGGGCTAAGTGAGCTTTCTCTGGCCTAAACATAACCTGAGTAGGGCCTGGACTAAGCTACCTTTCTCTGGCCTAAACATAACAACCTGAGTAGGGCCTGGACTAAGTGAGCTTTCTCTGGCCTAAACATAACAACCTCAGTAGGGCCTGGACTAAGTGAGCTTTCTCTGCCCTAAACATAACAACCTGAGTAGGGCCTGGGTTAAGTGAGCTTTCTCTGGCCTAAACATAACGACCTGAGTAGGGCCTGGACTAAGTGAGCTGTCTCCGGCCTAACCATAACAGCCTGAATAGGGCCTGGGCTAAGTGAGCTTTCTATGGCTTAAACATAACAACCTGAGTAGGGCCTGGGTTAAGTGAGCTTTCTCTGGCCTAAACATAACAACCTGAATAGGGCCTGGGCTAAGTGAGCTTTCTATGGCCTAAACATAACAACCTGAGTAGGGCCTGGGCTAAGTGAGCTTTCTCTTGCCTAAACATAACAATCTGAGTAGGGCCTGGACTAAGTGAGCTTTCTCTGGCCTAAACATAACAACCTGAGAAGGGCCTGGACTAAGTGAGCTTTCTCTTGCCTACTTGGGACTAAACTGAATATCCCTGTTAGGTCATGACAAGATCGACTGTAAACAGAATCTGACGGGTCTGCGGTGTGTCATATCTGATGGAGCCTAACATGGTCACTGCCAGTAATCCACAAAAGACTCTCCAACATCCAAAAACAACATATAAGTCAACAGAGGCTGCAGGAGTCTGCGTCTGTTTCAGAAATAGAGAAAAGAGGGGAGGACAGACGCCTCGTCCCCGGAGGGAGAGACAAAGATCTTCCGTGGTTGGAGAGAAAGAATACGGTAGGATACAGGTCTCCATACCATGGTTGTATCAGAAAATAGTTAGGAACTGGTATAAACTTTGATGGTTTTTCAATACCCACTTTAGCTTATAATTTAACATACAAATAAACTTACTTTTTCTTTCTAGACCTTTTTCATGACCTTGACCATAAGTATTTGTTACTTATTTCTTTTGAAATAAATCTATCATTTTACTAATCTCACAATTTTATAACCCAAATAGGTAAATTTTATTTATTTCTCCGATTTAACTGGTCAATCACTTAACCATTCAGTGCAAGATTGACACGTCTTTTTACCATATGACCTTTGACCTGTTTTGATGCCTTGACCTTATTTTGTGACCTGCTTCAATTTTGGCCTTGTGGCCTTGACCTTATTTTGTGACCTGCAATTTTTGGCCTTGACCTTATTTTGTGACCTGCTACAATTTTGGCCTTGTACCCACAAAAAAAAAATTGTGATCTGCAAGTTGACTTTGACCTTATGGTTTGACCTGAAATTTGGCCTTGTACCCTTGACCTTATTTTGTGACCTGATTTGATCTCGGCCTTGTACCCTTGACCTTATTTTGTGACCTGATTTGATCTCGGCCTTGTACCTTTGACCTTATTTTGTGACCTGATTTGATCTCGGCCTTGTACCCTTGACCTTATTTTGTGACCTGATTTGATCTCGGCCTTGTGGCATTGACCTAATTTTGTGACCTGATTTGATCTTGGCCTTGTACCCTTGACCTTATTTTGTGACCTGATTTGATCTTGGCCTTGTGGCATTGACCTTATTTTGTGACCTGATTTGATCTCGGCCTTGTACCCTTGACCTTATTTTGTGACCTGATTTGATCTCGGCCTTGTGGCATGTACCTTATTTTGTGACCTGATTTGATCTCGGCCTTGTGGCATTGACCTTAACATTAGACTTCGACTCTGAACTGTGACAACCATGAGGTGGAGAGTAGGAGAAGGACAAACAAGATGGCGGAGTGTAATTGATACTAACCTCTCTCGGTCATTGTTAGCTTGGCGCCGTTTCGCTTTACTGACTGAATCCTCAAGTTCGGGACTTTAAAAACCAAACAGAAAGTTAACACAGTCAGCAATCTCTCTCATTGTCATCATCATCATCACCACCACCAACACCAGTACAACACAAAGCCAGTGCCGCACACCTCATCAAAACAATCCTCACAACACAATCTCTATTATGGGCAAATATACAAAATGTACAATTTCAAGCTACAATCTTTAACATATCCATTTAATGGGTAAATATCACAAAGTAGGACTTCAAATTTCTAAATTTCATGACACTATGTGTAAAGTTTCAAAATTTTAGATTTAATTTTTTACATTAAGCTTAAATCTTTAAAATTCCATTTCGATTCCAGGAAAAGCTTAAATCTTTAAAATTCCATTTCGATTCCAGGAAAATACTGAAACAAAGCATTTCATATATTGATACCAATGCATATCAATGCTTTGTTTCAATAACAACAATAAACAATTTCAATCAACATCATCTTTGAGCGAAACAATTTGAAGTTTCAGAAAAGATTGTTGTGACAATAAATGGCATACTTATTTAGATGTTCATTTACCGTTCTCATTTATATATTGGATTAAAACCAAAACAGGGGTTCAAAGTTCACATATCTACATCCTGGGGTTGAGGTTCACACATCTACATACTGGGGTAAAAGTTAGTGGACAGGCAAGTCATACATGTCAGAAAAAACTTAAATATCATTTTTCAGTACAATTTTGCCAAAACCAATTCACCAATATTGAACATAGGTGCTGAATGATCAGTAAGAAATAAAGGATCAATTAATAACAAGTGTACTTTTTGTACTTTTTACAATTTAGAAAATTTGAAATGAAAGTGTCCAGCATCTGTAAGTGTTTCATTGATACCAAACATAACAATGCGTGCAGTGACCTCTCCCCACATGTCTGGTCAGTCACACAAAGCAACGACGGGTGACCTCTCCCCACATGTCTGGTCAGTCACACAAAGGAACTACGGGTGACCACTGTGTGACATGTCAGTGACCTCGCCCCACATGTCTGGTCAGTCACACAAAGCAACTACGGGTGTCCACTGTGTGACATGTCAGTGACCTCTCCCCACATGACTGGTCAGTCACACAAAGCAACTACGGGTGACCACTGTGTGACATGTCAGTGGCCTCTCCCCACATGTCTGGTCAGTCACACAAAGTAACTACGGGTGACCACTGTGTGACATGTCAGGGACCTCTCCCCACATGTCTGGTCAGTCACACAAACTAACTACGGGTGACCACTGTGTGACATGTCAGTGGCCTCTCCCCACATGTCTGGTCAGTCACACAAAGGAACTACGGGTGACCACTGTGTGACATGTCAGTGGCCTCTCCCCACATGTCTGGTCAGTCACACAAAGGAACTACGGGTGACCACTGTGTGACATGTCAGTGCCCTCTCCCCACATGTCTGGTCAGTCACACAAAGCAATTACGGGTGACCACTGTGTGACATGTCAGTGACCTCGCCCCACATGTCTGGTCAGTCACACAAAGCAACGACGGGTGACCACTGTGTGACATGTCATGGATTAACTCATTCACCCCTGAAGACACATTTGAACTCTTTCAATTCAAAGGTTGAAATAGTTCATTATGAAATGTCAAGGGTGAATGAGTTAAATAGATATAAGCTATGGTTGACCACTCCGTGATCAACCACAGTCTATCAGCTATGGTTCACTGACCCACAACATGTGATGGTCGACCACATATATAATCTATGGTTCACTGACCCACAACATGTCAATGTCGACCACATATATAATCTATGGTTCCCTGACCCACAACATGTGATGGTCGACCGCATATATAATCTATGGTTCACTGACCCATAACATGTGATGGTCGACCACATATATAGTCTATGGTTCACTGACCCACAACATGTCAATGTCGACCACATATATAATCTATGGTTCAATGACCCACAGCATGTGATGGTCGACCACATATATATCTATTGTTCACTGACCCACAACATGTGATGGTCGACCGCATATATAATCTATGGTTCACTGACCCACAACCTGTGATGGTCGACCACATATATAATCTATGGTTCACTGACCCACAACATGTCACAGATGGCTGACTTTGAAGGACACACTTGTAACACGTGACTGGGTATATAATCCAGCCTCTACGCACCTCTCTCTAGCATTGTTGGCCTGGCGTCGCACGCGCTCCCTTTCTGCCTTTGCCTCTGGAGATTCATCCTCCTCAGCTGGCTCAGTACTACTTCTGTCAAAAGAACAGTAACCATTTGAATATGTTTGTATGTTTTTAGGTATACAGGTCATAGTCCTGGCAATTCAAATTTAGCCAGGATCCATACAGGAATTTTACAAGGAAATGTTTTTTTAGAACCTTTAAAAGTGTTTTTCTCAGTTTAAATTAAGGTCTTAAATCCCCCGCCATTTGCAAATTCTCAAAATATAGAAAAACTGGCTGTGTAACCTGGATGTAATTAAATTCCCATAGAAACAACAAACAACTCTAAAATCTACCACTGGTCAGTATACAGAGAATCTAGAATTTAGCTCCTAATAACAATCTCATTTTCTTGTATTTTCTGAATTCATTTTTACTAGAGCAACACCGCAAAACCACAAAATTGATATACAATTTCAAGACATTTTGGTAAAATGTATGTGCTTACAGGGCCTTTCCATCAATCAATGTAGACAAACATTTAAATGTATAAGACAGAACTGCAGAATTACTCACCGTGACCGCTTGGCAGGGGGCCCGGTGCTGCTGCTGCCAGGAGACAGTTGAGATTTATCTCCCCCTGAACTGCACTCGCTTTTCATAGACTCCCCCTCCGCCTTGTCTAAAGACTCGGACTTGAGATTCTCATGATCTGGGTCAGCAGAACTCTCACCACGCAGCACTGCAAGGAGGACACAAAGATACATGTTTATCTTGTTTATCATTCTATCCTCACTCCACTTCAGAACGGATAAAGATGCAAGGGTTTTAAAGTGTCTGCTTTCAAAATATTGGTGAGTGAGTACCATGTGTTGGGACCAACACATTGATTTCTAACAAGTCACATGTCTCCAAAGTGATGCCAGAACAAATCAGAGCAAAATCACCTCCAGCCTTAACACTCCATGTGAAGTAAAATTGATCTTTTTTTTGTAAGAAGTGAAATATATTCAGCTCTCCCACTACTGTTTACTGAGACCGGTGAAATATGCTTGATATGGAAGGAAGTTTATGACGTCACAACATCTACTTCAAATAAACAGTCTGAAGAATCTCCTAGAAGAGATGAAAGTACTAAAGACTCGTTGTTGAGAATTTTTCTTTAAATATATATATATATAGAAAAAATAAAATTAACGACCGACTAAAAAACTAGCTGCTTTCACCCTTCACAGGGCTCTTCAGGTTTATTCAAAAGAACAACGTCGTGACGTCAGTTACATGTCATCACACTACAATAGTAACGTGACGTCACGATGTACACAAGATTGGTGGACAATTTGGCGTAAATTTTTTATTGTGGCCTGTTGAGACTCGGTTTAAAACCGAGTCTCAACAGGCCCACTGCTCTCAAATTTTGAGGGGTTTCCCTGCATGAGAGGTCAATAGGAGACAGGAGATGGGGCGGTGGAGACAGGAGATGGAACTGTGGAGACAGTGGAGACAGGAGATGGGAAGGTGGAGACAGGAGATGGGACGGTGGAGACAGGAGATGGGACGGTGGAGACAGGAGATGGGACGGTGGAGACAGGAGATGGGACGGTGGAGACAGGAGATGGGACGGTGGAGACAGGAGATGGGACGGTGGAGACAGGAGATGGGACGGTGGAGACAGGAGATGGGACGGTGGAGACAGGAGATGGGACGGTGGAGACAGGAGATGGGACGGTGGAGACAGGAGATGGGACGGTGGAGACAGGAGATGGGACGGTGGAGACAGGAGATGGGACGGTGGAGACAGGAGATGGGACGGTGGAGACAGGAGATGGGACGGTGGAGACAGGAGATGGGACGGTGGAGACAGGAGATGGGACGGTGGAGACAGGAGATGGGACGGTGGAGACAGGAGATGGGACGGTGGAGACAGGAGATGGGACAGTGGAGACAGGAGATGGGACAGTGGAGACAGGAGATGGGACAGTGGAGACAGGAGATGGGACAGTGGAGACAGTACGGAGACAGTACTTACCATCTATAGGTTTGGCTGGATCAGATGTACTTGGTCTACTGTCACTCATTGAGTGGTGGCTACTTGTCTGAAAATCAAACAACTAGAGTTATTTCCCTTGAATCACTTGGTGCAGACACACCAATGTATAAAACTACTGCAAATCTCAATACTTTTCTGACGAATATCCAATGAAAGATTCAAAGAATAACGTTTTGATTTCTGATGAGGAAAGAATTGAGCAGAGCAGCTCCATTGAAAACAAATCAAATTTTATTGAAGTTTGATGAAATATTTGACACAAAATAATCCTTATCTACAACTATGGAAGAGTAATTATGACCATCTTACCAGCGATTCTAGGTGGCTTGCCATGCCACTGAGGCCTGAGAGGCCACCCATACTTCCCATCATGCCGTTGGAATGTGAGCCCGACCCCATCATGGTGGACGGTAACCCCTGGTGACCCGGCATGCCTGGCATTTCAGCATGGTGACGAAGAACATGTATTGCGTCCTCGATCCGTTCCTCCATGCGACTCTGTAAGCATACAGAGAGATTTCATCTCGACATTGTTAACAAACAACAATAAAATAAATTGCTGTAAATATGAAATCTTTATCCATCAGTGAGTCTCTAGTTAAACCTTTTTGCATTTATTAATTCATTCACCCCTGAAATTTCATTATGAACCATTCCAACCTTTGAATTGGATGAGTTTAAATGTGTCTTGATGTGATCAGTACCTGTTTCTGAGGTCTGACCCCTGGGATTAAGGTACCCTCATGCTTTGCCAATCATTAAGGTACCCTCATGCTTTGCCAATCAAATGTTTATCAGGTTTTCCAACAATCCAGCCAGTGTTTTCAGGGACAGACTGGCCTTTCTACACAAAACGGTTCCAATATTCCAACTTTATCCACAATCTAGCCATATTTTGTTGGAAACAAAGGTGGTGCAATTTTTTAAAAATTCATTTGTAAGTAGAATACAGTCTGGAGGTGTAAAGCATGTATCATAACTACATACACTCAGCCAGGACTCGGCTGGAAAATAGTTCTCAAGTTATGGGAGAAAAACAATTTCCATGTTGAAACTAGAGTCTGTTTCTTTTCCTATTTGAAAACCTGATATTGCAATCAAACCACAGAGTTAGACTGGATAAAGCATCATCGCGTCGTCCTGATGGCTTTGTCAGATCCTGCTCCGCACGCCAGGCCAACGGTTGGTAGGGACAGGATGACATAACCAGACGTAATGGCATCTACCGGTGTAATGCACCACACCTGCCTACGATGTACCTCGGTTGTTATATAACCAGTAACGACAACTCCAGCTGCCCGCCCCCCTCCCTTAGTCTACAGATGACAAACCTATCGGCTAGCCTGCACCAATGGATAAAACATCAAAAACTACCAGATCCTACCTGCAAGAATTCATACAAGTATTTTACTTACCATTAAACCAAGTTTTCATATGAATTTCAATCATTTGAAAAAAATGCTTGGCAGGATAGGGGGACTTTAGGGTGCTGTATTACTTGGGAGGCGAAGAAATTTTTGCTTTTTAAGCGGTGCTGATTAGGGTATAATTTAAGAGGTGCGTAAGTTTTCAGTATTATCAAAGTTTTAGCACTCAAGGATTGACAAGACACAAAATGGTTTGAATGGGCACAAAAAGGACTGAGGAAGATACACAAAGTCACAAGGCATAGGCTCTTGTGGAAAAAAGGTAGAAAAATCATCAGATACATAAGGTGTTAAGGTGTATAAGGGGAGGTTACTCACCACACTCACCAGATTGTGGAGGGGGCCACTACCGCCGGCACCACCACTGCCACCACTGGTGCCACCACCGCCGCTACCACTCTCAAAGTGTGGTGAGGTAGAACTTTGCGCTGAAGGGCGCTGCCACTGGCTTGCTGCACCTATTTCCATGGAAACAATACAATCAGGCTACTGAGTGAAATTTGTTGTGTGTAGTAATTAAAAACCTGATGCAACAAGCTGGTAAATTGAGACTTTGCTCATTCTTGTATCAAAATAAGCCAGAGGTCTAATTAAATCAATAATCCATTTCTCATTAAAACAAAAGACGACAGTGGGTGAAAACTGTACACATGTTACCCAACACACTGTTTTGCATCAGTGGTAGCATCACCAAGGGCTATCATCTATTTACTAAGGGGAGATACATATTTATTAAAGGGAGATTACTACTTATTAAGGGGAGATAACTCACCTGACATAGGGGGTGGGGAAGATACTGGTGTTGAGGAATTGGAGCCATAATTACTGCTTGTATGATCTGTTGGTGAATATATCTGTAAATACAGAGAGAACACAATCAAAACACGTCACACATTGTTTGTCAGTAGACGATTATTTTTCTAATAGTTAGAATTAACTAAGTTCTCCTTATACATTCATGTTGAAACACACACAAGATACAATATCAATCCTTTCAAAAAACTCTTTTCTTTTGGCCTTTAAACAACTTAAGCATGAGAATTTGAATTAAAAAAGTTTATAACATTTCTATCTGTTACTTAAATGTCTTAGTAAATACAAAATGTCTTCAAAAAACTTTTATTCTCCATTATAATAAAAATGAAAACGATTTTGTTTATCGTCAGAATCTAATCTGACATAGACATGCAGCTATTGTAAAGGCGTTTAATTTGTTATTGATACTTACAGAAGCTAATGCCTTTCCTAGAGCATCACCGGTCTGTGATGGGCCTTGTGTGCCCCGCCCACCCATCATGTCACCGTTGACGGAGGGGGATGAGGAGGAAAAGGAGGAGGAGCTTGGGGGCATGTTGGTGCCCCCGCGGAACGTTGACATTGGGGGTAGGCCTGACTGTAGCATGTTCTCCTGGGCCATTGATATGGTGGGGTAGCCCTGTAACACAAAACAGTACACATCAGTTCTAATACCGATATGGTGGGATAGCCCTGTAACACAAAACAGTACACATCAGTTCTAATACTGATATGGTGGGGTAGCCCTGTAACACAAAACAGTACACATCAGTTCTAAAGTTTTTAAAAGGTTCGATAAGCAAATCTGAACATTATTTTTCTGTTTGTGATCATTTTCATTTTTTAACAATTTAAAATTTTAATAAATAAAATCCTCAAAATTACAAAAGTGAGTTATAAAGAGTTTGAAAAGAATATATTCAAGTGTATCTAACCTAATTGTTTGAAAACTAAACTTTACGAGGTTAAGATATTTATGTAAAAATTGCCAAAATTGGTTCCAGAACATTTATGGGGCCCTACAAGGTTCTAAATAATCTGATAAGCTCATCAACTTTAAGGCTACCTGTGGCTAGGTAACCTGAAACATTACACCGGAGACAGCAGTAACAATGTTACATGCTAAACTGAATAATGAATTACAAAGATGACTAGACTTAGTGTTCAATATGATATACACACATAATCATTGGTGTACTAGTAATTCTATATGCACAATGTCCAGGGTAAGATTATAAGTCTGGGCAGCAAAAATAGTCCAAATATTTATACAAATTTACAATACAGGCCAGCTTAGGAGTATTTATCAAAATCTGCCTATGAACTTGTACAACCCTGAATCCTATCTATAAGTTAACTCTTTCAATATATTGGGTGAAGAAGTAAACAATTAATGTCTCAACTAATTGTTACTATATAACTGCGTATCTAATTATGTTTTTAAATCTAAGGACTATGCTACAGAACAGAAAAACTTGCTCCCCGCGGATCAGTATATTTATCCTGCCATGACAATGTGTGCCATGTCAGGATAAATATACTGATCAGGGAGCAAGTTTTAACAGCACCTTCCCATTAATCCCTGGTAAATCAAAACATGATCAACACCACAGATAATACAGAGGAAAAGATTGGTTTTATTCATTCACATTTTTCCTAGATTTGATTCAGTGTAGAAAGCAAGTGTAATGAGTTTAGTTCGGTGAACAAATCTGGTGAAGGTTTTAAAATAATTGAATAATTACGTCCATCTGACATGGAGATCATACCACATGTTTCATAAAGCAATGCATTTCACAGGATGTAAATATGTACCAATTAAGCTGACAATACGGCTAGAAGGCGACTTGTCTGAGAAACAAGCGCTGATGAAGTTGACCATGCTGTTATCAAGCACTATGCCTGTAAAACATCTTGCTCTCATTAATAGGACTTCTCTTGGCATTCTGCCAACATACATACACACACTATTTCCTGTTTGCAATTCAATCATAGCATCCATGTTCAAATTCTGGTTTCCATAGCAACCATGACATCATTCTTCATCAGTGGTGGCAGGTGAAGTAACCATGGTGACCTTTATTTCCTGCTTCTCAAATTTTATACTTCTTTTTTTTTATGGGTTCTCCACCACCCATCCAGGAATGTACAGCTGGTTATAATCAACTCAGCTCTGGTCTGTTAGTCCCATCTCCTTTCTTCCTCCTTCTCTCTCTCTATCTCTCTGTTTCTGTTGTAACAGTCCCAACTCCTCTCTTCTTTCTCCTCTCTCACTCTCTGTTTCTGCTGTACCAGTCCACCCCCACCCCCCACCCCTATTCACCTTGTCTTTTTCCTCCTCCTCCTTCTCTCTCTCTGTTTCTGCTGTAGCAGTCCTATCACCTCTCCTCCTCTCTCTCTGTTTCTGCTGTAGCAGTCCTATCACCCCTCCTCCTTCTCTCTCTGTTTCTGTTGTAGCAGTCCTATCACCTCTCCTCCTCCTTTCTCTCTGTTTCTGCTGTAGCAGTCCTATCACCCCTCCTCCTTCTCTCTCTCTGTTTCTGCTGTAGCAGTCCTATCACCTCTCCTCCTCTCTCTCTGTTTCTGCTGTAGCAGTCCTATCACCTCTCCTCCTCTCTCTCTGTTTCTGCTGTAGCAGTCCTATCACCTCTCCTCCTCTCTCTCTGTTTCTGCTGTAGCAGTCCTATCACCTCTCCTCCTCTCTCTCTGTTTCTGCTGTAGCAGTCCTATCACCTCTCCTCCTCTCTCTCTGTTTCTGCTGTAGCAGTCCTATCACCTCTCCTCCTTCTCTCTCTCTGTTTCTGCTGTAGCAGTCCTATCACCTCTCCTCCTCTCTCTCTGTTTCTGCTGTAGCAGTCCTATCACCTCTCCTCCTCTCTCTCTGTTTCTGCTGTAGCAGTCCTATCACCTCTCCTCCTCTCTCTCTGTTTCTGCTGTAGCAGTCCTATCACCTCTCCTCCTCTCTCTCTGTTTCTGCTGTAGCAGTCCTATCACCTCTCCTCCTCTCTCTCTGTTTCTGCTGTAGCAGTCCTATCACCTCTCCTCCTTCTCTCTCTCTGTTTCTGCTGTAGCAGTCCTATCACCTCTCCTCCTCCTCTCTCTCTGTTTCTGCTGTAGCAGTCCTATCACCTCTCCTCCTTCTCTCTCTCTGTTTCTGCTGTAGCAGTCCTATCACCTCTCCTCCTTCTCTCTCTCTGTTTCTGCTGTAGCAGTCCTATCACCTCTCCTCCTTCTCTCTCTCTGTTTCTGCTGTAGCAGTCCTATCACCTCTCCTCCTTCTCTCTCTCTGTTTCTGCTGTAGCAGTCCTATCACCTCTCCTCCTTCTCTCTCTCTGTTTCTGCTGTAGCAGTCCTATCACCCCTCCTCCTTCTCTCTCTCTGTTTCTGCTGTAGCAGTCCTTTCACCTCTCCTCCTTCTCTCTCTGTTTCTGCTGTAGCAGTCCTATCACCTCTCCTCCTTCTCTCTCTCTGTTTCTGCTGTAGTAGTCCTATCACCCCTCCTCCTTCTCTCTCTCTGTTTCTGCTGTAGCAATCCCATCACCTCTCCTCCTTCTCTCTCTCTGTTCCTGCTGTAGCAGTCCTATCACCTCTCCTCCTTCTCTCTCTCTGTTTCTGCTGTAGCAGTTTTATCACCTCTCTTCTTCTTCCTCTCTCACTCTCTGTCTCGAGCTCTGGTGTAATAGTCCCCCTCCTATTCTTTCTCTCTATTTGGTGTATTTGTGTCCTTTTCCTCCATTTCTCTCAATCTCTCATTCCGATCATACCCTTCCACTCATTCTTTCTAGTCGTCCATTTCCTATTATGTCTCTCTTTCCATCCATCTCCTTTATTCCTCTTCCAATTATGTCTCTTTCCATCTCTCTCCTCTTTTATCTCTGTCTCTTTCCATCTCTCTCCTTTTTCTCTCTATCTACATTTCTACTTTTTCTTTATTGCTCTACTCTTTTCTCCTTGTTTTTCTACTGATTCCTCTTTTCTTTTTCCCTTTGTATTTCTTTCCCCTGCTTGTTATGTAAAGTTTATTCATCCCTTTTATCTCTCCGCTGGTGTCATGCCATGTCCTCCCTCCCCCTTCCTCCATGTTTTCATTGTGTTTTAAGTCTACTTGTCCCCCTGATCTGTTCATCTCTTTCCACTTCTCTCATCATGCTGTTCAATAACAACTCCCCTACTGATGAAATTCCTGATGTCCCCCCCCCCCTATCTCCTCCACACATCAGACTTGTTCCATCTCTCCATCATGTGTAGCCCTGGTAGTTTTATTTCCCTGTCCCCCACCCACCCCAAACTATCTCTTCTGATCACTGTGTAGGCAACACCTTGCTATCTACATCCATCAACCGTCTACTGCAAAACATGTACACATTTTACAGCCGGTATCTTTATTGGCTCAGAGATTAGGGGGGAGGGTAGGGAGGGGGAGGGGATTGGGGGAGCCAGTTTATGGGAGAGTTTCACAAACATAATATCTGCACAGCAGTATTTATTTTCAAAAGCTTCCAAAAGAGAAAAAGATTTGTCGGAATTTAATGGTCATTTCTAAATAAAACTTGAGTAAGCAGCACACCACAAGTGGACAGAGCCATCCTCACAGCATGTCAATCGTTTAATGTTGCCCTTCACTTATACATCTTTCACCTTCGTATAAAACTCAATTCGAACTCTCACACAGAAATTCATCATCACATTGTTTTACATCTGTTAAATGGACAATTTAATTGAAAATAAGCTCACCTTTCATGATTTATTAAATAAATCCCCTATTTGCTTTATTTCTTTTTCTTTCTTAATTATCTGTCCTTCTTGCCGATTCATTTAATTACATAAAGTTTAAAGGACATTTTTAACCTGATCAAACAATTCAATAACCAACAGTATTCAAAAGTTCACGATTTCCCTAGTTTTACTGATGATTTCTCCATTCTGCCCCTAGTGCCATTTCCCGAAATACCATTATTAATCCCTGTAAACTTAAATTTGCTTTCACGTTTTGTTTCAGACAGGTTACTCCAAGCCTCAAATTCACACATACCATCACAGTTTTTCAAACAGTGAGACATTACAATACACAGCAAGTACTATATTGGGGCATCGAACAACATAAGTGATTAAAACATGTCAACAAAATATTGAACAAGAAATAAGGCAAATGGCAATATTAGAGTTAAATTTTTTGCATTGAGAAATATTTTTACAAATGTTAAAGAGATTTCATCACGAGACAGCATTAGATGATCTTGAAACCCTAGCCTGTATGATCTTTTTTCTCCCTTTTTTATGCCTTCTATGATTTTTTAATTGTATGTATCCCAAGAGATTCCTAAATAATGGACTTACAAAGATGCATGTTACCATGACAGCCAGACAAAGCCCCTACCTGGAGCAATGTAACCATGACAACAGCCCCTACCTGGAGCAATGTAACCATGACAACAGTCCCTAACTGAAGCTGGAGACTTGTAATCATGACAATAGACCATGCCTTGTTACCATGGCACCACAGTATACAGTTCTACTCTAGATGTGTAGGCATGCATTACCATGACTCCCACACACAGCCCCTAATCTGAGACAGGCCCCAGGGTCACGGCCCTTCCTCTCACCCCTGACAGGCTGGTCTGTCAGGGGGATGGAGATGTAGCTAAGTAGGAAAGAAGGAGGGGGGGGGGGGGGGGGAAACATATCTATTCACTGTGTTATGAGTATCTGGTGTTATGGCCAGATTGCCTGATTCACATTTTTTCTGAATCTTGAATCTTGTATTGTATTAATTTTGCATCTTCTTAAATATTTCAAACTACAGAATTCACACTTATTATCTCTCTAAGTTACTTCTTCATACTTGAATCTTTGTTAGGAATTAACTATTGATTGACTAAGTAAATGTTTGTAAAACACTTACATGCCCCTGCTTTAGCGCTTCAACTTGAATGGAGCTAATACAATGCTTATCCAAAGAAATGGAGCTAATGCAATGTCTTTCCAAAAAATTGAGGTAAATGCAATTTCTAAACGAAGTCACTGAAGATAAAGTTCACAGTGACCTACAATTGATATATTGGTGAATTACTCAAGATGCAATCCTATATGAAGTTTGCCTGTTGAAGCTTTAGTAATAGAGAAATGGATCTAAATGCATCCCCTAGGATGTTATATCGCTGAAGACAGGGTAGACAACTATTGGATGTCGCTATGTTGTAGGAGCATACAAATATCCATGTTTTACTTTCTACTTAAATATCAGGAAAGTACAAGGTTCAGATTAGCGGCAGACACCTCAGAGTTGCGAAAATTGATAAGAGATTTTGGGCAAAGGACAAACATCCTGAAAAGTTTGCAGAAATGGTTTTCACAAGTCCCAATTTAAATTCTTAAAAATGTTACGGACCAAGCAAAATTTAATGAGAACTGGGAAAGACTGGGTTGGGTGGGAAAGACTGGGTTGTAAACAGACTTTTGGTCGGGTGGGATAGACTTTTGGTCAGGTGTTTGTAGTTACCATGTAGTGAGGATAGCGGATGGTTAAGTATGACGGGTCGGGTGAGACAGACTTTTGGGCAGGCATTTATAGTTATCATGTAGTGAGAATAGCGGATGGTTAAGTATGCAGGGTCGGGTGAGACAGACTTTTGGTCGGGCGTTTGTACCTACCATGTCGTGAGGATGGTGGATGGGTGGGTATGACGGCGCCTGTGAGTACTGTGTGTTTCCTGGCAACATGGACGAGGGGTATGTAGATGTGGGGAGACCGTTGTTAGATGACCAGGGATCGGACGCACCATGGGGTGACGGATCTGAAATAAAAGTAATGTAACATCCATCATTACAGGGATTCACTTAAAGGCGACAGGTCTGAAAACATACAACTGTTCACAAGGTTGTTACATGTGTGTAGGTCACCGAAAACTTACAAATAGTGTCAACAACGATAACAAACTCATAATGTTGAACCTTTGAATTCAACACAATATCTGTTATACTTTCCAACATAAACAGAGTCAAATACACCTCCCAAACTAGTCAAAAATCGGTAAATATAAAACAGACAATTTTCCTCCATTTTTTTCCTGCTCTTGGATGATGTACAAGGTGAATTCAACCACCAGACATTCTGATATACAAGTAGTCATGGTTACCAACCATATACAAGTAGTCATGGTTTATGCATTTTCTGAATGATAGCTAAGCAACTTAACTCCAGAAAGTTTGCTTTGAAAACCCAGAGGGCAAGAGTTTATGTAAAACTTACCACCCATATAGAAGTTGTCAATGACGAAGGAAGGTGTCAAACTTACCACCCATATAGAAGTTGTCAGTGACGTAGTAAGGTGTAAAACTTACCACCCATATAGAAGTTGTCAGTGACGTAGGAAGGTGTAAAACTTACCACCTATATAAAAGTTGTCAGTGACGTAGGAAGGTGTCAAACTTACCACCCATATAGAAGTTGTCAATGACATAGGAAGGTATCAACCTTACCACTCATATAGAAGTTGTCAATGACGTAGGAAGGTGTCAAACTTACCACCCATATAGAAGTTGTCAATGACGAAGGAAGGTGTCAAACTTACCACACATATAGAAGTTGTCAATGACGTAGGAAGGCGTAAAACTTACCACCCATATAGAAGTTGTCAATGACGTAGGAAGGCATAAAACTTACCACCCATATAGAAGTTGTCCACATAGGAAGGTTTGGGGGAAGTATAACGGTTTGGCGATTCCTGTCCATAGTCATCAGGGCTCTGTGGGGGATATACCTACAAAATATAAACATCACACTTCAGCAACATATATTTCTGCATAACAGGCTCATAAATCTTAAATTATTCACCCTTGAAGACACATTTGAACTCTTCCAATTCAAAGGTATGAATAGTTCATTATGAAATTTTAGAGGTGAATGAGTTAATTAATAAATGTTTTAACATCACCACAACTGCTGATGTGTTTCTCACCTTTCCTCGCATTTACAGGTAAAATAGTTCAATTTGATGTGACCATACTTCAGTACCAAACCATACTCTATGTGATGATTGTATGATGTGACCATACTTCTGTACCAAACCATGCTCTATGTGATGATGGTATGATGTGACGATACTTCTGTACCAAACCTTACTCTATGTGATGATTGTATGATGTGACCGTACTTCAGTACCAAACCATACTCGATGGTATGATGTGACCATACTTCCGTACCAAACCATACTCTATGTGATCATTGTATGATGTGACCATACTTCAGGACCAAACCATACTCTATGTGATGGTGGTATGATGTGACCATACTTCAGTAGCAAACCATACTCTATGTGATGATGGTATGATGTGACCAGACTTCTGTACCAAACCATACTCTATGTGATCATTGTATGATGTGACCATACTTCTGTACCAAACCATGCTCTATGTGATGATGGTATGATGTGACCATCCTTCTGTACCAAACCTTACTCTATGTGATGATTGTATGATGTGCCCATACTTCAGTACCAAACCATACTATATGTGATGATTGTATGATGTGACCGTACTTCAGTACCAAACCATACTCCATGTAAGGATGGTATGATGTGACCATATTTCAGTACCAAACCATACTCTATGAGAGGATGGTATGATGTGACCATATTTCAGTCCCAAACCATACTCTATGTGATGATGGTATGACGTGACCATACTTCAGTACCAAACCTTACTCTATGTGATGATTGTATGACGTGACCATACTTCAGTACCAAACTATACTCTATGTGATGATTGTATGATTTGACCATACTTCAGTACCAAACCATACTCTATGTTATGATAGTATGATGTGACCATACTTCAGTAGCAAACCATACTCTATGTGATGATGGTATGATGTTACCATACTTCAGTACCAAACCATACTCTATGAGAGGATGGTATGATGTGACCATACTTCTGTACCAAACCATGCTCTATGTGATGATTGTATGATGTGCCCATACTTCAGTACCAAACCATACTCCATGTGAGGATGGTATGATGTGACCATATTTCAGTACCAAACCATACTCTATGTGAGGATGGTATGATGTGACCATACTTCAGCACCAAACCATACCTTATGTGATGATGGTATGATGTTTCAGAACACCTCAGGACTGTATGTACAGTCAAACAGTCATACATGACAGACAGTTTGATTTCAAAATTTCATTAAAGTTAAATTTTTTGGAAACTCTTTTTCATTCTCCCTTGGTCCAGATTTCTTTAAGTTTAATCTTTTGGATACTCTTTTGTATGTTCCCATTGTCAAAAGGTTTTGTTTCTGGAATCGTTAACTGTACATGTGTATCTATGGAATCGTTGGAAGTAAGTAACTGTACACGTGTATCTATGGAATCATTACGTAAGTAACTGTACACGTGTATCTATGGAATCATTGGAAGTAAGTAACTGTACACGTGTATCTATGGAATCGTTTGAAGTAAGTAACTGTACACGTGTATCTATGGAATCGTTGGAAGTAAGTAACTGTACACGTGTATCTATGGAATCGTTACATAGGTAACTGTACACGTGTATCTATGGAATCATTGGAAGTAAGTCACTGTACACGTGTATCTATGGAATCGTTATGTAAGTAACTGTACACATGTATCTATGGAATCGTTACATAAGTAACTGTACACGTGTATCTATGGAATTGTTACATAAGTAACTGTACATGTGTATCTATGGAATCGTTACATAAGTAACTGTACACATGTATCTATGGAATCGTTACATAAGTAACTGTACACGTGTATCTATGGAATCGTTACGTAAGTAACTGTACACGTGTATCTATGGAATCGTTACGTAAGTAACTGTACACGTGTATCTATGGAATCGTTACGTAAGTAACTGTACACGTGTATCTATGGAATCGTTACGTAAGTAACTGTACACGTGTATCTATGGAATCGTTACGTAAGTAACTGTACACGTGTATCTATGGAATCGTTACGTAAGTAACTGTACACGTGTATCTATGGAATCGTTACGTAAGTAACTGTACACGTGTATCTATGGAATCGTTACGTAAGTAACTGTACACGTGTATCTATGGAATCGTTACGTAAGTAACTGTACACGTGTATCTATGGAATCGTTACGTAAGTAACTGTACACGTGTATCTATGGAATCGTTACGTAAGTAACTGTACACGTGTATCTATGGAATCGTTACGTAAGTAACTGTACACGTGTATCTATGGAATCGTTACGTAAGTAACTGTACACGTGTATCTATGGAATCGTTACGTAAGTAACTGTACACGTGTATCTATGGAATCGTTACGTAAGTAACTGTACACGTGTATCTATGGAATCGTTACGTAAGTAACTGTACACGTGTATCTATGGAATCGTTACGTAAGTAACTGTACACGTGTATCTATGGAATCGTTACGTAAGTAACTGTACACGTGTATCTATGGAATCGTTACGTAAGTAACTGTACACGTGTATCTATGGAATCGTTACGTAAGTAACTGTACACGTGTATCTATGGAATCGTTACGTAAGTAACTGTACACGTGTATCTATGGAATCGTTACGTAAGTAACTGTACACGTGTATCTATGGAATCGTTGAAGTAAGTAACTGTACATGTGTATCTATGGAATCGTTGAAGTAAGTAACTGTACACGTGTATCTATGGAATCGTTACGTAAGTAACTGTACATGTGTATCTATGGAATTGTTGAAGTAATTAACTGTCCACGTGTATCTATTCTCCATCCCTTAATACCTCCACACTGTATAAATCTCTCCCACTACAGAAATCCTCATACATATATATTTCTACCCTGCACAGAAATATTACCCTTTAATACATAAAAACCTTTCCTTTGAAGAACTTCATTCCCCTGCATTATTTACATGCCAATTGAAGGAGGCCCATCTTTCTTCCTCCAAGATAACATAAACTTGCCCATATCAATCAAAAGGCAAGTCCAATGTTTTACATTTGGGATTGGGAACGTGCTAGAAATATGAACTATTTTTGAAGAAGAGCGAGGATTTGTAATGACTATTAGGCCGTGTAAGAGGTGCCTATAGCCGTACCACTATAACAATCTCTTTGATTTCAATGGGGAACAGATTGGTGGGATTAGTTTACTGTTACATAATATCTGGTTGAATGCAGCACTGCCATGTCGGTATTTATCACACCCTAACCTACCAGTTAATAGTCAAACACTGGTATTTATCACATTTCATGTATTACACAGAATCAATTCTCAAGTATTAAACGGAGTCCCATCTCAAACATCAAGATGGGTGTGCGATACTGTCGGCAGATTTGCCTGAAGCCATCACTCCCTGCAGTAGTAGCAAAAACCCACACAAAATATGTTGTGACGCCTATATTTCAATATTTGCTTGTCTGCCATTTTTAGTTTGGTAGATAGGTAAGGGAAGTATTTAATTGAATTCTTATTCATAACAATTTTACATTTTCAGAAATAATACATACACGTACATTCAAAATGTATTGTATGGGTGAACATTTTAATATTTAGGGTACGTAGGCAAGTTTGTAAAAATTCTCCCAGTCTGACCAATATTTTGATCATAAGTATGGAACCTTTTTAATAGACCTCTAACCCTACTCCCCTTAACGTCCATCTTGATACAACTGTTACAAAGTTTGGCCAGGAACCCTCCCCTTAACGTCCATCTTGATATAACTGTTACAAAGTTTGGCCAGGAACCCTCCCCTTAATGTCCATCTTGATACAACTGTTACAAAGTTTGGCCAGGAACCCTCCCCTTAACGTCCAACTTGATATTAACTGTTACAAAGTTGGCTTTCCAGATATAATTATCAAGACCACCAGAGTCATGCCTGAAAAACCATTTTGAACACGAGTATCCTTAGTTACAATTTTTACCAGTGGTACGGGGATCCTTAGTTACAGTTTTTACCAGTGGTACAGGTATCCTTAGTTACAGTTTTTACCATCGGTACAGGTATTCTTAGTTACAGTTTTTACCAGTGGTACAGGTATCCTTAGTTACAGTTTTTACCAGTGGTACAGGTATCCTTAGTTATAGTTTTTACCAGTGGTACAGGTATCCTTAGTTACAGTTTTTACCAGTGGTACAGGTATCCTTAGTAACAGTTTTTACCAGTGGTACGGGGATCCTTAGTTAGTTTTTACCAGTGGTACGGGGATCCTTAGTTACAGTTTTTGCCAGTGGTACAGTGATCCTTAGTTACAGTTTTTACCACTGGCAAAAACTGTAACTAAGGATCCCCGTACCACTGGTAAAAACTGTAACTAAGGATCCGCGTACCTCAGGTAAAAACTGTAAATAAGGATCCGCGTACCTCAGGTTATTTTTTTTATTTTATTTTTATTTTACTGTTCTTGGTGATAAACCTTTCCTGTTCCTCATTCTAGTTTACTCAATTTAAGAATTTGTTTTCAATCTTACTACTTATGATAAGATCAAACTTTTACATGCTGAAGCTAGAAATACTCATATCCATTGTATGTTTTGAAAGCATTATATTAAAACCATCATCTTCCTAACAGTAAATTTTGGTGAGATTTTTGTTACACATGGCCACAAAATGCTCTAGACTTTCACATTCAACACAGAAACTGTGAAACCGACATGATGTAAAATGGCACATCTTTTTATTTTTACAAAACTGTGAACTTTTTATTTTTACAAAACTGTGAAAAGTAGAATCTGCTAATTTGAAAATGGTCACAAAAAGCTAAATCCTTAAAATATAGCATATATATCAAAATTGCAATTCAACATGTGAATCAGCCTACTTTTGAAGAACCATGAAAAATAAGAATTCACTAACTCCAGGCTGTTAATACGGAGATGCGTCTGATGTAAAAGGAAGCTTGTAAGTCACTAGGCTAAGGGAGTGGGTGTGCCGACATATATCGGTTACAAACTGAAACACCTTCTTTTCTTATTCTCAGAACAAATTTTAATATCAGGGGATATCACTCTTGTGGGTTTGGTCAAAGAACAAACCTGTGGTCGGGTGGTCATAAGTAGTCCTATCAAAGTGGTTTTCTATAAGAAACTGCAGGCAAACCTTTCTAAATCGACCTTCCCTGGGACCACCATATCGGATTTCAAAAAACTGGTATAATTAACATGGGAATGTACATTCCATAGGAAAAGATGAAATTTCTGTTCATACAGGTTTCTGGTTTATACAGGGTTTGATTAAGACAGGTCATACTTTACGTACATTGGAACCGATTCCCATCCCATCAGCTACAAGCTGAAGGTGAAGGTCGAAAGGACAACAAATACTATTGCAGGAAAAATTAATTTCAAATAGGAATACTCTTGTCCGCCACCTTCCTATCTAGACCACCAGCCCAGGAAGGGACAAACACCCTTAATTACGAATAGTTCACCAACCTTTCATTACTTACCCTGACAAATAAACACGGACACACCAACCAAAGGTTTAAGTGTCAAAACTATCCTTACTGACGGTTCATTGGTTGGTTGTAAGGGGTACTTTCAATAGTTAAGGTCATTTAAGATGTATATGTTGGAGAACAAGTAATTCAAGTCCCTCTCCCCTCCCCACTATCCATGTATGATGTATGTCCAAATGGTTGTCCTCCCGATCCCTCCACCCACTATCCAAATATTTGCGGACAGCAAAATTTCTCTCTACCCAGACCCAGATATACAGACCAAGGGGCAGGTACATGTTGGGGTAGGAGTGGACCTCAGACCTATACTAACGACTTAAGGGGATATAGACACAGACCCAGGGGTGGGTACATGTGTGGGTAGGGGTGGACCTCAGACCCATACTTAAGACTTGAGGGGATATAGACACAGACCAAGGGGCGAGTACATGTGTGGGTAGGGGTGGACATCAGACCTATACTAACGATTTTAGGGGATATAGACACAGACCCAGGGGTGGGTACATGTGTGGGTAGGGGTGGACCTCAGACCCATACTTAAGACTTTAGGGGATATAGACACAGACCAAAGGGCGAGTACATGTGTGAGTAGGGGTGGACCTCAGACCCATACTTAAGACTTTAGTGGGTATAGACTTATACTTACGACTTTAGTGGGTTGACACAGACCAAGGGGCGGGTACATGTTGGGGTAGGAGTGGACCTCAGACCTATACTAACGACTTTAGGGGATATAGACACAGGCCCAGGGGTGGGTACATGTGTGGGTAGGGGTGGACCTCAGACCCATACTTAAGACTTTAGTGAGTATAGACTTATACTTACGACTTTAGTGGGTTGACACAGACCAAGGGGCGGGTACATGTTGGGGTAGGGGTGGACCTCAGACCCATACTTAAGACTTTAGGGGATATAGACACAGACCAAGGGGCAAGTACATGTGTGGGTAGGGGTGGACCTCAGACCCATACTTACGATTTTAGTGGGTATAGACTTATACTTACGTCTTTAGTGGGTCGACACAGACCCAGGGGCGGGTACATGTTGGGGTAGGGGTGGACCTCAGACCCATACTTAAGACTTTAGTGAGTATAGACTTATACTTACGACTTTAGTGGGTTGACACAGACCAAGGGGCGGGTACATGTTGGGGTAGGGGTGGTCCTCAGACCCATACTTACGACTTTAGTGGGTATAGACTTATACTTACGTCTTTAGTGGGTCGACACAGACCAAGGGGCGGGTACATGTTGGGGTAGGGGAGGACCTCAGACCCATACTTACGACTTTAGTGGGCATAGACTTATACTTACGACTTTAGTGGGTCGACACAGACCCAGGGGAGGGTACATGTTTGGGTAAGGGTGGACCTCAGACCCATACTTACGATTTTAGTGGGTATAGACTTATACTTACGACTTTAGTGGGTCGACACAGACCCAGGGGCGGGTACATGTTGGGGTAGGGGCGATACACCCGGTAATACGGATCTCGCGCGTTGGGATCCACTTTGAGTTTTGATGCTCTCACCACAGCAGGAAGTTTAGGACAACAGGTTTTTAGAACCTGTTTCCAGCATGTTTGCATATCATTTCCACAATGTTGTGTATAAACTGCCGGCAGTACTGATATCAATAACAGTCACTGTACTCGCTATAGTATCACCCAAACATAAACAGCAACAATTATCACACAAACCTCTTACAATTGTTTTTCAAACTACACGTAATGGTAAATCAAAAATTTGATGTTAACAAGCAAACATTTTGTAACAGCAGAAGTCTGGACAAGAAATAAAATGATATTGGTATAATAGCTAAGTCACTCTACTGTAGGTAGAGGTCCTAATACAGGTATTACAATCCCACAGGCCATCACAGCCTACACAGACCATCACAGACCATCACAGCCTACACAGGTATTATCACTAGTCTAATCCTTAGTGCTGCTGGTCAACTGGTCAGAACTGCTGGTCAAACTTTTCTGTACTGAAGTTTTCATTAGGTCAAACTTTTCAGTACCGCTGGTTAGTTTTCATAAGGTCAAACTTTTCGATACCGCTGGTTGGTTTTCATTAGGTCAAACTTTTGGTACCGCTGGTTGGTTTTCATTAGGTCAAACTTTTGGTACCGCTGGTCAACTTTTCAGTACACAATAAACTACGTTCCACAATATACCATGATCCTACACTTATTTAAATTCCAACAGGGGTGGTATTGAACTTTCCACAAGGACCTTACAGAATATTATGATATCTAGTTTGTCTATATTCTATACATTTCACAATCTTCAAAGAGTTGGAGTTTTAAATCCTGTAGTGATTAGAACCATTAGAACCACACCACTGTGAATGGTCTTTGTGTGAGAGAGTTGTGAGCGCATCAGCCGCCAGCCAGGATCTGACCTCCCTAACACACTACTGGTGTGTATACCACCTGTGTTCTCTAACAGTGAGCCCCCTCCTCTAGGCCCCCCACTCTGCTCTGCCCTGCCCCCCTCCCTTATAAGAGCTAATTTTCTTTTTTAATAATTCAATGTTCTAGAGACAGGGGGAGGGCAGTCAACTCCCTACCATACTCCCTTCCTCTAGGCCCCCTCTGGGGGTTCCTCAGCTCTGTGTTGCCTACAACACTCCCTAACCATTTCACCACTGTAGACCATAATAGACTCATCCCAATCGGTGCATGGAAGAGTATACTAAAGTTACATAGGGGTATAAGGGCTAAGGATGTATAATCACAGTGAATTGACAAATTTACATTACACAACTTTAAGAAAGATGTATGTATATAGTAGTATCAAGCCTATGTTGATTTCATTCAAAAATTAACTTTTTAATCAACAATCTTTTGCAAAAATTATTTATGAAATTTTCAATATGGACCATTTCACCTTCAATTTCATAACTTGTTGGTCTCTGTATCTTTTTAACAAACATTAATAGTAAGATCAATTAGGTATCAACCTAAGGAAAAATGAAATTATATTTACAGTTTTGATGAGAACCAATTCAATCAAAGAGATCGGGAATGTTGACATGGAAACGCATGATTAATCAAAATATCAAACACATGGCTTCAGGTCATAAGAATTACATAACTTTTAATTGTTCACAAATATAACTTTTATCATTTCACCTTAGTCAATCACAATGAAATCCCCCTGGGGTTGCTGTTGGTTGTGTGGAGCTTGGGATGCCAGACCCTACAGAGATTCCCTAGTATCAGGTTCCATCATTAACAGCTAAACTAAATCTCCTCCACATTTCCTCACTTAAATTTTCTTGCCATATAAATTGATGCCAGGTTTATGCTGCCCCCTCCCTGACACATTACTCCCAGTTATACTTCCTCCAACGACATGTTACTGTAAGCTATATTTACATTCTGGAAGATCAATCTGTTTCGAACACTATTTTTGCTAAATTGTTGTTTCCAGCACAAATTTTTATAGTAATTATTCAGTATTTTACAAAAAAAATAAACGGATTTCATTTTTTGAGGTGATATATTTCACCAACAGCTACAAAATGTCTATTTAATGTTAAACTGACCAGTCTACCGTTGGTAATATTGTCTATTTAATGTTAAACTGACCAGTATACCGTTGGTAATATTGTCTATTTAATGTTAAACTGACCAGTATACCGTTGGTAATATTGTCTATTTAATGTTAAACTGACCAGTATACCGTTGGTAATATTGTCTATTTAATGTTAAACTGACCAGTATACCGTTGGTAATATTGTCTATTTAATGTTAAACTGACCAGTATACCGTTGGTAATATTGTCTATTTAATGTTAAACTGACCAGTATACCGTTGGTAATATTGTCTATTTAATGTTAAACTGACCAGTATACCGTTGGTAATATTGTCTATTTAATGTTAAACTGACCAGTATACCGTTGGTAATATTGTCTATTTAATGTTAAACTGACCAGTATACCGTTGGTAATATTGTCTATTTAATGTTAAACTGACCAGTATACCGTTGGTAATATTGTCTATTTAATGTTAAACTGACCAGTATACCGTTGGTAATATTGTCTATTTAATGTTAAACTGACCAGTATACCGTTGGTAATATTGTCTATTTAATGTTAAACTGACCAGTATACCGTTGGTAATATTGTCTATTTAATGTTAAACTGACCAGTATACCGTTGGTAATATTGTCTATTTAATGTTAAACTGACCAGTATACCGNTTACAATGGTTTGATATTACAATGGTTACAATGGTTTGATATTACAATGGTTTGATATTACAATGGTTACAATGGTTTGATATTACAATGGTTTTATATTACAACNGTAATATTGTCTATTTAATGTTAAACTGACCAGTATACCGTTGGTAATATTGTCTATTTAATGTTAAACTGACCAGTATACCGTTGGTAATATTGTCTATTTAATGTTAAACTGACCAGTATACCGTTGGTAATATTGTATATTTAATGTTAAACTGACCAGTATACCGTTGGTAATATTGTATATTTAGATTGAACACCTCATTTTGGTTCTACAACAAATTTTTTGCACACCATCAACCATATTACAATGGTTCCATACTTGTGTATTACCATTGTTTGATATTACAATGGTTTGATATTACAATGGTTACAATGGTTTGATATTACAATGGTTACAATGGTTTGATATTACAATGGTTTGATATTACAATGGTTCCATACTTTTGTATTATAGTGTTTCTACCCCACAACAGGATGATCACAAATCACTGAAAAATATATTTTAAACATTTTTTAAAGAAATTTAACATTCTCTGGTAATGACAATATGTAAATTTACACAATTTTCGACAGGTTTGGTTTGTGTATCAACACCTAGGCTGGGTAACGCTACAGATTAACTCTGGTCCTCTTCTCTCTAGTATCATCATCATCACATCTAACACAGCTGGTCTATACATCACTGATGTACCACAGACAGCTGTAAACCAGACCCTCTGCCAGACTAACCCCTGGAAACCCCTCCATGACAACCTCTTAGACAACCATCAGACCCTCTGCCAGACTAACCCCTTGAAACCCCTCCATGACAACCTCCTAGACAACCATCAGACCTTCTGCCAGACTAACCCCTGGAAACCCCTCCATGACAACCTCCTAGACAACCATTAGACCCTCTGCCAGACAAACCCCTCCATGACAACCTCCTAGACAACCATCAGACCCTCTGCAAGACTGACCTCCATTCCCTGGACCCCCTCCTAGACAACCCCCTAGACGAACCCCTAGACCCTCTGCAAGACTAATCTGCACCCCCAGAACCCCCTCCTAGACAACCCCCCAGACCCTCTGCCAGACTAACATCAACCCCAATGACCACCTCCTAAACAACCCACACACAATCTTCCACACCATGTCCTAGACAACCCCCAAACAATCTCCCACACCCTGTCCTAGGCAACCCCCAAACAATCTCCCACACCCTGTCCTAGACAACCCCCAAACAATCTCCCACACCATGTCCTAGACAACCCCCAAACAATCTCCCACACCCTGTGCTAGACAACACCCACACAATCTCCCACACCTTGTCCTAGACAACCCCCAAACAATCTCCCACACCCTGTCCTAGACAACACCCACACAATCTCCCACACCAGGTCCTAGATATAGAGACAGGTGTTACTATATAGAGGTATAGAGACAGGTGTTGTTATATAGAGGTATAGAGACAGGTGTTGCTATATAGAGGTATAGAGACAGGTGGTGCTATAGAGAGGTATAGAGACAGGTGTTACTATATAGAGATATAGAGACAGGCGTTACTATACAGGTGGTGCTATACAGAGGTATAGAGACAGGTGTTATTATATAGAGGTATAGAGACAGGTGTTACTATACAGGTAGACAGGTACATTGTGTTATTCCATGCTGTACATATGAAGTAGTACTTAGTTACAGCCGTTAGCACCATTTGACCCTTTACAACTTTTTCAGTGTTGATGGGCTTTACAGACACTATTAATCAATTCCCAGAGGATAAATACTGGTATGTACTGCTAATCATTTACAAACTCCCCACCAAACGCACCTGTGAAGCAGACTGAGGCGCTGGGCGAAGTGGTCTCGGGAAGTAAAACATGGTGGCTCCACCTGGAGGGAATCCGTAAAGTCACCAAAACCGTCTGTGTAATCAGACAAGCGAGGGGAATGTGTTTCTGTGTACTAAGCTACACATGTAGGCTAATGGCTACCACACTGTCACACAAACAGTACAGAGGGCCAAGGTTGTCACAATCCAGTACGGAGGGCCAAGGTTGTCACAATCCTTCTCCTCCTCCTCGGGGCACCTCAGTTATAGATTCCAAACTTTCCACGCAAACACTAACACCAAAATCTTCAGCAAAATAAATTTCTGATTCACAGTTAAGTTCAGACAGCCGGAAAACTCCACACAAACAAACAATTAGGAAAATATTGCCAGAATATTGTTGGTGAACCTGTAGGTGATATTACGGTAATACAGTGTATAAACAGAACTGTTACTAGAGTTCTAACACAGATCTGGAGAGAAACACTCGTCCCGCGCTACACAATTCAAACCAGATTCCCACCTTCTCTACCATAACCACACACTTTTTTTATGTACAATTCCAAAAGTTGGGGTAATCTGGGCCGCCAGCCAAAGTCTTCCCCAGCACACAACCACATGGCCAGCTTTGGCAGGCCAACCCATTGCAGTATGGCAGGGGCATCAGGTCAGTCCATTGACATCCCATGGGGAGGAGAGGTAGAGCCTTTGTTTACATGCCCCAGGATGGGTTGCAGGCCTTGCAGCCATTAGTCTGGGCCAACATGTGGGATCATAAACCCATCACTCACCCCCCTCCCTTGCACGCTGTACTACTTATAGGTAAGGAAGTAAAATGCCTCAGCCCCAACACTCAATACTTGATTTCCAGCTGGTAATATTAGAATTTTTTTCCATTTTTAAAAAGAAAGAAATATTTGGAAACTTGAATCTTCATAACTCACTTTCATAGTGGTATTATTTGGATTTTCATTTTACTAAGAGTGAAAGTAAGAATTTAAATAAAGAAATTAAAACTAGGAATATATAATATTAGTATTAACTGTCAAAACATTACTGATTTTTTTAATTAAATGGAGACTTTGAAGTTTATTTTCCCCCCAACACTGCATTATTAAACAGAGAAAACTGTAAAAAAAATCATCTGAATGGTTTATACTAGTGAGGTCTAATAGTGAGATCTAATAGTAAGGTCTAATAGTGAGGTCTAATAGTGAGGTGAGGTCTAGTAGTGAGGTCTAATAGCAACGTCTAATAGTGAGGTCTAATAGTGAGGTCTAATAGTGAGATCTAATAGTGAGGCCTAATAGTGAGATCTAATAGTG